CTCGGGGACGTAGGCACAGTTGGCCGAACCTCGTTACTAAATTCTTTGTTTCCTCTCTTCTATTTATTCTATGCATTATTTGATTTCTTGTGACCAACGCTTCGCAACGACCGCTTCCGCTGCACCAACAGAGGTCATGAGCTCAAGTCGCGAAAGGCTCCCCTTTGTGGGGATTAAAATACTACAGGAGTATTTAAGCTGATGGGTGACAGACTCAGTGTATTCATGGGTCCAGAGGATTACATGTCAGGACGAAGATGTTATATCATAGCTTAATGGTAGCCACTTATGAGAATATGTAATGACTATTTGTCGCTGAGGTCATAGGTTCGAGTTGCAGGAGACTCCCATTTGTGAGGAATAAAATAATGTAGGATGTATTTAAGCTGGTGAATAACACGTTTAGTATATTTATGGGCGCAGTAGTCACATGTCAGAACTGAGGTGTTACAAAATTGGTCTTTATGTGACACCAAATAACATGTCTGAACTCTTCCAGCAGTTTTTCCTTCTGCTGGGGCAAAGTAAGATTGTCTTTAATTTATACTCTATAATCCTTAGCAATGTTATTAAAACTGTACCGGTTATTAAACCAGTCCGGGTACTGGTATAGTGATACAATGGTTCAATCGATGATATAGTAATTAAACCGCATGTCAATTAAACCGGACATATATGCTTATATTGACATATATGTTTAAGAAAATATATGTAAATATTATTAAAAAATTATCTCATATCGAGGTTTCATATCATCATCTTCTAAGTTTAATTTATCTACAACAATGTAATATTATTAAAAAATACAAGACCAAATTTTCAATAACAAAATAGAAGATTTAAAAAAGGTACTAAATGGTAAAATTAAAAGAGATTGATGACTAATATTTGAATTTAAAAAATGTACTAAATGGTAAAATTGGAAAAAATGGATGGTTAATATTTGAAGCACTCCAACACTCCAACCTAATAAACATAGTTTTCATTTCCAATGTTACTTTTCTTCTTCATCTTCTTCTTATTTTTTCATTTCCAATGTTACCTTTCTTCTTTATCTTCTTCTTATTTTTTCATTTCCAATCTTAACATTCTTCTACTTCTTATTCTCACTTAACCTCTCTCTTATTCTCACTTAATCTTAGCATTATTCTTCATCTTTTTATTTTTTTCATTTCTTCTTCATGTGATGGAGCCGGTTGGATGCAGACTAAGAAAGCTGCTAAAGATCCAAACAAGCCTAAGAGACCTCCAAGCGCCTTTTTCATTTTCATGGCTGAGAGAGGTTTTCAAGAAGGAAAAAAAAAGGAATATGCATAAATCACCCGGTTTTTACCGGTTTCCACCGGTTCACTGGTTTTGGTCAAAACTGGCTGGTTTTAGCCGATTTTCATTGGTTTTATTACTTTATCGGTATAACATCTGTGCCGTACCGGTTAGGGGTCCGGTTTTCTGGTCGAACCGACCGGTACGGTACGGTTTTCTTATCACTGATCCTTAGTATAATGCATTTTCAAATGAGTTACATAAACCAATAAAAAATGTCAAATTTATTTAAAATATTACAATGTTATGATTCTAATTTAAAGTAGAAATATTTCTTAGTTGAAAGACTGGAAGATAATAAAGTTTTAATTAAATAATATTATATGGGAATTATTAACTTAGAATCAATAGAAGACTATTATTTTAGGGAGGGGATCCACTTACTCCAAGAGTAAGTTTAAAACACTTACTCCACATCATACCCATAAATTATAGGGAAATATAATGATTTGAATTAGTGAGTAAATCTAAACCATTAAATTTCCTAGAATTGATGGCTAAGATGTAGAGTAAGTTTAAAAAAAAACTTACTCTTGAAGTAAGTGAATTCCCTCCCATTATTTTAATATTGAAGTACTATTATTTAAGTACTTCATTATTAAACTCTCATTTAATATTGAAATACTTATCAGTTGATAGTTTCAAATATAATAAACTTTTAATTTAATTTAATTATATATGGCTTATTTGATTTGTCCAATGGGAGACTATTGATTTATCCTAAATAAAAAAGAGAGATACAACCTTTAAAAAGGCAAATATAATTAAAAGGATAAATGTTGTATAAAAATTCACTACAACATTTTTGACTTACGGCAACGGCTAAAAACCGTAGTCTGAGGCATTGCCTTTGGCTAAGACTACTGTTTTCTGACTTTTGACAACAGTTTTTAAAAGCCGTTGTCTAATGTTTTAGATAGGCAACATTTTTTTTTCATCGTTAACAGCAACAGTTAAAAACCGTTGCCTATAGAAAAAGGTAAAAACCGTTGCCTTTGGTCATTTACAATGGCTAAAAAACCATTGTCTTTGTTGTTACAAACCGTTGCCTATAGTAGTATGACTTTAAAATTGTTTTCTTTGCTCATTTTATACAATATAGATTTATTCATATGTTTAAAAACAATTTTGTCATTATATCACTCGTAATTTTTGGTCAAACATCACATTTAACATATAGCGAATATGACAAAAGTACTTAATATATATAAATTAATAAGTCATACAATTGTGCATCTATTTGTCAAAAAGATACTACACAAGACATACAATTATGTTTCCATTTTTGTTTAACAAAATATAATTCTAATCTAAAAAGGAAATCTTGATGTTTCAATTATGAAGACCAATCTACATATCCGTCCTCATGTACTATATGCGACAATTTGTCTTCCAAGTGATTTTGCTGCATCAATATAAATTAAAAACAATTAGTCCAACATATACTCGTAATCGATTACACCATACTCGTAATCGATTACAACATATTAAAAACATCAGATATGTGCATTTGTCACATTGTAATCGATTACACCATGTTTGGTAATCGATTACATCAAGCTGTTGAGTTTGTATTTTAAATTTTTTTTAGCTCTTAACTTTTCACAAACTCATACTGGTTCATGTGCACGAATTAAACACTATAAATAGGTGTTCCATGACTTGTTTTAAAACATAAATCTGAATACAACTTTCATACTCACAAAGTCACAAAGTTCTCATAATTTCTCTCATTCATTCATAAGTGTTAAGACTTTGATATCAATTTTCATATCTTTCCAACTCTCTTTAAACTTGCAAAGTTTTAAAATAAAAGTAGAAATATTCAATTTAAGTCTCTACACCTAATTCACCCACTCTTAGGTGGCCATATATCCTAACAATAAAAAGTAAAAGGATGGTGTGATTACCATCTCACGCCTTCTTCTTGAATTCGGCTTAGAACCACCTGTATGCTGCGGAATCACTTGCTTCTTTCGAATTTCTTTGTTTTTTCTACAAAGTTCCTATGAAAAAAACAATTACACATTCACACAGTAATGAAATAAATAGCAATAGCAAATTTGAAATAACCAAAGTAATGTCAATTTATACCACAGTTGATGGTCTCAAAGGATAATGAACAAAATGTGTCCATTGATCTTTGTCTATGCCAATTGGAACATTTCTTATGATTTCATCTCTAGTCTTGGCTGGATTAAAAAACTCATCCCATAATCTTTGCCTACTTGCACTCCATTTTCTCCCAAGACTAAGTTTACAATATCGTCTTGAAATGCGTTCACTTGTTCTAAAACAAAAGCGAGGCTTCAAAAAATTGACACAAATTTGTCAATATCAATTTTACATATAAATATAAACAATATTAGAGATAAAATTTACACATGTATAAATGTTATACCTTTATGATTGTATCCAAGCACTCTGTAAAATAAGTAGAAGGTATACCATTACGTCCACCTGACCACCTATCATAATCTATTGGAATGCAATCAGATGCTAATGTTCCTAAAAATCCAGCAAGAAGGCCTTGCGCATCACCATAGGCCGCACCTTGCTCATCAAAATCCAGAATGATACGTTGCCCGATAGGTAAGTTATTCACTTCTCTAACTTTTACCTTAATCTGTTTGACAACTCTTTCTAAGTCTATCACAATAAAATAGAACATCAAATATGTCCATCAAGAAACAAAAATTAAATTAACAAAAAAACAAACAAATAGAAACACTTATACCTATTGCTTCAACAATCCAATAATGTGTAGACTCGCGTCCAACATGATTTGTAAATGTTTCAAATTCTTCTGGGACTTCTGGAGCGGACACATTAGGAGCTTGTGAGGAATGTACTGGTGGTGTAGTGTCAAGTGTCGCTTTTGAAGGGGCTTGAACTGATAGTGAAGGGTCTGTAGGATTTATTGCTGGTGAATAATGAGTTGGATCTTCTATTGGAGATGCAACACGTTGTGATTGAGGTGCTGATTTGAATGGATTCTGAAAACGTTTCACTTTTGGCACGTCTTTATATTCATGTAAAAAAAATAGAAAACGAGATACAAACAATTAGATAATAATATGACATAATAAGTAACTTCATAAAGGAAATGAAACAATAATAGCATTAACCATGTAAAACAATTACCTTTGAGAAAGTATGATAGTAATTATATAGTGATTATAGGATATGTCTCTGCCATTTCATAAAACCACATTTGGGACATGGACATCGAATTGTATCCCCAACAGCTCCATTTCTATTGAATGATTATAATCATTAATCTTTTCTCCTTATCATTAATCTTTCTCTCCGTTTTTCTATCTAAATTATTACATATGGCTTCAAGTTCACTGAGCAAACAAAAGGCTTCTGATTCATCATGGATACCAAAACAAAACAATATGTTTGAAAGAGCACTTGCAAAATATGATAAGGATGCCCCTGACCGCTGGCATAATGTAGCAAAAGCAGTTGGTGGAAAATTACCTGATGAAGTTAAGAAACACTATCAAATCCTTTTAGAGGATCTCAGACACATAGAGTCTGGCCGTGTTCCGATTCCCAACTACAAATCGTCACTTATCACCACCAATGTTGATGAAGAAGAGAGGTAATGCTCTTTCTGTCGAGTAACTAAAACATATTAATGTGACCATTAATGATGAAACTTGGAGTGTGAAAACTTGCTAACACCAAAACTAGTACCACAAGCCATATAACTGTGAATTACACCTGAGTAAGAAATAAATCTTGGTGCATCGCATAACTACACTGTGTGAGGGTAGTATAATCTCCCTGTAGGATAATAATATAATACAATATGAGAACTATGCAAATTGAAAAATTCCCTCATGAGACCATAGTAAAATATTATACATTTATTGAGTTATTAATCAACATTCTGTAACAATAATAAATCTATCTTTCATTAATTGGCAATATTATGTCACGTTACAATAGCATCTCCACATGCTAAGGACTGTAGGCTCAAAATAAGAAATATGATCACACATTGCACAACTTCTGCTTCATCAAACACAACATAAGCATCCACAACACATTTACAATTGAAGTACATAGTAATTTCCTCAAACACAACATAAGCATCCACAACCAAAATTTACTCAATTATTTTACCCAACAATTTCTTAAACACACATATAATCATCATCTACAAAAGCATTAAACCCTAAAATTGAACCCGAGAGCTGAGAAAATGAAGAATATGAGAGCTGAAAGCTGCACTGTTGTGAATCTGGATGAAGAAAATGAAGAATCTAAATGTCTTAGTGTCTTGTTCCAACCAGATCTGTGAGCAATGAAGAATGAAGAGAGTGAAGAATGAAGTGGATGTGAGGTTGAAGAAAGTGGAGAATGAAGTGTATGTGAGGTTGAAGAAAGTGAAGAATGAAGGGAGGGAGGTTCAACAAATTATTTGAAAGTGAGGAAAGTGAAGAATGAAGAAGGCTTATGAAGGAAGACTTTATGAAGAAATTCTATGTTAACACTAAAACTTATTTTTATTTGAAACATACAAATATGTCAACACTTATTTGACACCTATGAAGTGAGGTTATAAAGCAATAAGTTAACACTGGAAAACTTATTTTTAATAGTGTAGGAATGAAATTTTAATTATTCTTAAGTGTGTGAATTAATTTTTAGTACATGAAAAATATTATTAAGTTATTCTTAATTTCAGGTTGATATTATATACATGTGTTTTCAATCTGGGTGTAAGTTTTGAGTGTTGCTATTAAACTCATTAAATTCATTATTTAAACGGATGAATAGTGGAGGTTAAAAACCTCCACAGATTAAATAAAAACTTCCACTATATATTTAGTTAATTGTCTAACTTGTATCATTTAATTTTTTGTGGAGGTTTGAATAACCTCCACAAGAAAACCTCCACTAAATATAAAGTTTTTGGTAGTGTAGTATCTACAGAACTACTAATACACAAGTACAAAGAAACTAGTTTGCGCTAATTCCTCCACATCTAGTCAATGTTAATCAGTGCTAATGTTTTAACTAATACACAAGTACATAAGTTCAAAACGTAACACTAGCAATAACCAACACAAAATCAGTAGGAATATTCAAAATAAACACAATAAAAATGTAGAAAATGTCAATTTCACTTAGTAATTGTAAGAAAAGTAAAGTGATAAAGTAAAGCAGAGAAAGAGAAATTTGTTTTTCATTTTATAAACTGAGTGTAATGAATAATTACAGAGAGTAGGCTTCTTTTTATAGAAGCAGTTACAGAGATAAGCACGTGTAGCAATTACTAGATGTAACTGCAATTATTCTAGAAGATTCTTCTCTAACAAACTTAGCAACTAATCTTCTAACAATCTGGACAGCTAAGCACTTAGTTGATTAATCAAAGTCTTAATACAACAATAAAGCAAACTATATCAGTTATTCTAATATTCCCCCTTGAAACTGAGAGTGTGTTGCTGTCTTGTCCACTACTTGAAGTAGATGTCTGATAGAAAGAAATCTTGATGTGGAGAGTGGCTTGGTGAGAGCATCAGCTGGCTGAATCTCGGATGGGATGTGCTTGACTTGTAAGAGTTTTGATTGAACTCTATCTCTAACAAAGAACAAATCTAATTCAATATGTTTAGTTTTGTGATGTAGAACAGGATTGTGAGTCATGGATACTGTGCTTAGATTATCACACAGAACTAATGGTGTTTGATAAGGAAATTGAAGTTCTGAAAGCAGAGACTCAATCCAAATAATTTCTTGAGAAGCAAGAGCTAAGCTTCTATACTCTGCTTCAGTGCTTGATCTAGAGACAGTTTGTTGCTTTTTGGACCACCAAGTAACTATGTTAGGGCCAACAAAGAGACAAGCACCTGAGATTGATTTCCTGTCATCAGGGTCTGAAGCCCAATCCGCATCACAAAATGCAGTAAGAGGTAGGGAGGATGTGGAATTAGCAGGCCTAAGCTGAATACCCATATGAAGAGAACCTTGAAGATATCTGAGGATTCTTTTCACAGCTGTCCAATGATGCTCCAGAGGATTAGACATATATTGACATACTTTGTTGACACTAAAGGCAAGATCAGGTCTTGTAATTGTAGCATATTGAAGTGCTCCTACTACAGATCTGTATAATGTAGGATTTTCAAAGCCAGGGGATCCTGTTTTGATCAATATGCAAGCAGTAGACATAGGAGTTGGAGCAGGCTTGGCAGAATCCATATTTGTCTTTTTGAGGAGATCTTTAATATACTTAGTTTGAGAAAGGAACAGAGATCCATTGGTCATGTGTTTAACCTCAATTCCCAAAAAATAATCTAGTGGACCAAGTTTCTTTAAGGCAAAGGTTGCACTAAGACTATCAATGAGTTGATGAACATGAGAGGTAGATGAACCAGTAACTATGATATCATCTACATAGACTAGTACATAGAGCTTGTAAGAGGAAGAAGTATGGATGAATAGTGAATTGTCACATCTGCTGTTTCTGAAACCAAGCTTGAGCAATGTTTCCTTAAGCCTCTCAAACCACTGCCTAGGAGCCTGTTTAAGACCATAGAGAGCTTTGTGAAGTTTGCAGACTTGTGCCTGATTACCATTATGAAAACCAGCAGGCTGCAACATGTATACTTCTTCATTGAGAAGACCATTGAGAAAAGCATTGTTGATGTCTAACTGCTCAAGAGGCCATTTAAAAGTGACTGCCAAAGTTAGAAGAATTCTGATAGTTATAGGCTTGACCACTGGAGAAAATGTTTCATTATAATCAACACCTTGTCTTTGATGAAACCCTTTGGCAACAAGTCTTGCCTTATACTTGTTTATTGACCCATCGGGATTTTCTTTGATCCTGAACACCCATTTGCAACCAATGGCCTGTTTGCCTTGAGGTAACTCAACAATTGTCCATGTACCCAACTGAATTAGTGCATTGTACTCTTCTTGCATAGCATGTAACCATAATGGATCACTGATGGCTGTCTTAACAGAAGTAGGTTCAGTTTGGGTAAGTAAGACTCTAGGGGCCTTGGGAACATATGACTTGTCAATGCCAGACTTGGAACGAGTTTGCATTGGATGAGTGGACAGGGGTGCTATAGGCAGAGAGACTAGAGGAGACTTGGCTGTATTTGATGGTGAACTAGAAGTTGATGAGGGATTTAGTGGAGCAGGGTCAGTTAAAGAAGGTTGACATGTTGGAGGCATAGTAGAACTCGTGACTGGACTGACTGTTGGTGAAGGAAAGTGAGTAATATGAGCAGGATTGACCATAGGTGATGTATTAGAGGTAGGGGGGAGTATGAGTGGTTTAATTGCAAGTGGAAACACATGTTCATTAAACTGGACATCTTTTGAAACATAGACTCTACCCTCTTTTGACAAGCACTTATACCCTTTATGTTGTGTAGAATAACCCAAGAAAACACACTCAGAGGATCTGAACTCCAGCTTATAAGCATTGTAAGGTCTTAAAAAGGGAAAACAGGCACACCCAAAGACTTTAAGTGATGAGTAATCAGGATGAACTCCAAACAGAAGAAAATGAGGAGACAACTGGTTGAGATTCATGGCTGGGAGTCTGTTGATAATAAAAACAGCAGTGGTAAATGCATGGTCCCAATAGGATAAGGGTAGAGATGCATGAGAAAGCAAAGCTAGACCAGTTTCAACTATGTGTCCATGCTTTCTCTCGACAGTACCTTGTTGATGATGGGCATGAGGACAAGAAACTCTATGTATTATTCCCAAGGTTTTTAGATATTCAGTAAGTGGTCTAAACTCCCCACCCCAATCACTTTGAATAGCTTTAATGCTTAGACTAAATTGAGTTTGAACAAACTGCAAGAAATGCTTGACTATGAGAATTGTGTCTGACTTTTGTTTGAGTAGATAAATCCAAGTGTCTTTAGTATGAGCATCTACGATAGACAAGTAATATCTAAACCTTGAGTCTGAATAAATTGGAGCAGGACCCCAAAGATCCATGAACACAAGATCAAAAGGACTAGAGTAGACAGTAGTTGATGCAGGAGAGTGTAATTTGTGAGCTTTGGCACAACAACAAGCATTACATAAATCATCAACCGTTTTATTGGAGTATGGGATATTACATTGTTGAAGAACACTCTTAACAACAGCCTCATGGGCATGACCTAATCTATAGTGCCATAGTTTGTATTTTGACACATCCCTAAAACTAGAAGAAACAGTGGTATTAGTAGACATAGGTAATGTGAAACTAGAATTACAAAGCTTAGAGGTAGATGACATAAGGTTGTGAAATGCATAGAGTCCCTCAGCAGTGAGAGAGCCCTGAAGAAGCACCTGTTTAGTATCCTGAGATTTGACAAAACATTGGTTAGGATGAAACTCAAAGAAACAATGATTGTCCTTAGCAAATTGAGACACACTCATGAGATTTTTAGTGATAGTAGGGACTAACAGTAAGTTATGCAAAGTCATGGACACTTTAGAATTAAAAGGTGATTGAAAATAAGCATTTCCACAACTTGTAATAGATGCTTTGTTACCATTACCCATGTATATGTGGTCTGAGGCAAATTGTTCAGTTGGATCAGCAAGAAGTGATGGATCAGCAGTAAGATGGTTTGTTGCACCCGAATCAGGATACCACAAGGATGGCTTGGTAGTGTCTGGACAGTCTGAACCAGTGTGACACACATTCATTGCAAAAGGAGAAGTATGAGTGTAAGCAAAATCAGGTTTGTGAGCTCCTCTTGATGCAGAAAAATTCTGATTGTAGGATGGTCTTGAATGAGGATAAGTGTGATGCATACTTGGTTTTGGCCTTGCAAAGTGAGTTGACATTGCAGGTCCATGTGAGTAAGGATCACCATATGAAGGTCCATGTGATGTAGGCATAGTATAGGAGGGATCATAGGGTGCATAGTAGCACCAGGATACATCATGACCATGCCTATGATAGTAATCACAAAAATAGGAGGAAATTCTGCCTGCACCCCTGCCACCACGATATAGTTTGCTTTATTGTTGTATTAAGACTTTGATTAATCAACTAAGTGCTTAGCTGTCCAGATTGTTAGAAGATTAGTTGCTAAAGGCTCTACAGTGGCAACATTAGCCGAAAGTGCATCAGACACAGTTTTGTGTTTGTTTTTGAGTAATCTTGACTCACATGTGAGAAGAAATTGTTCCAGTTCATTAATAGATGGAGGATGCACTTGACTTTCAATGGTTGTGATAACAGTGTGATATTCCTCATTAAGACCATCTAAAACACAATCAACATGTTCTTCCAATGAAATTGGAGCTCCAATTGATGCTAACGAGTCAATTAGCAACTTAATTTTGGAAAAATAATCAGAGATAGAAGATGATCCCTGAGAAACAGTACGTAGTTGTGCCCTAAGTTGACGGCTACGTGCTTTGGTGTGAGCATTACAGAAAGAATGCAATTCATGCCATAATTGAAAGGAAGAGGTACAACCTATTACTCGAGGTTGCAGAGATTCAGAGATCGAATTGAGAAGCCAAGAGAAAACGGTTTGATCCTGTTCTTCCCAGCTTAGAAAGAGAGGATTGATGCGATGATGAAGACGATTTGATTCAGAGAGAAATTGAGGTGGAAAATCTGATTGAAGCACAAATCGGAGAACACGATTGGCTTTAAGAACAGCTAGCATGAATTGACTCCATGTGAGATAATTTTTCTCCGTAAGCTTCGTAATCGGCAATGGAAGAGAAATCGAAGAAGAAATAGGTTGAACTGATGCAGCGGAAGAAGAGTTTGGCGGAGAATCCATGGAAGAAGGAGGATCGTTGACATTCGCCATTAAAATGCTCTTGATACCATGTAAGAAAAGTAAAGTGATAAAGTAAAGCAGAGAAAGAGAAATTTGTTTTTCATTTTATAAACTGAGTGTAATGAATAATTACAGAGAGTAGGCTTCTTTTTATAGAAGCAGTTACAAGATAAGCACGTGTAGCAATTACTAGATGTAACTGCAATTATTCTAGAAGATTCTTCTCTAACAAACTTAGCAACTAATCTTCTAACAATCTGGACAGCTAAGCACTTAGTTGATTAATCAAAGTCTTAATACAACAATAAAGCAAACTATATCAGTTATTCTAATAGTAATTTTCTCATTCTTAATGGGAACTATTTATTGACCTAGAACATGTGTTAGAGCCAAAGATGAGATCAAAGAAGCTTTAAGAAGGCTGAGACAGTGCAAAACAAAAATAAAAAAGCAAAACAAGTTTAAGTTAGAAATGTGTGTGTAATGAAAATTGATTGAAGTATTAAAAGTTTAGAATTCAGTAACATAGTTTATCTCTCTCTTGCCAATCTTGATTATTTGTTCATCTAAATCAGAAGAAGAAACACCAGACTTAGTCAGAAATAAAACCACACAGATAGATGAACCATGTTTTACTAACAAATCATTTGTTACCATGTAAAATGATGGTTTCTTAACAAATCCATCTTCAGTAGGAGACTTAACAAACTTGCTCATAAGATTTTGTGACTTAAAGTGTTTGGAAGGATTAAAAAAAATGCTCTTATACAAATTATCAATACTTCCCAAACAAGATTTACACAAGTACAAATTATCAATGCTCTTAAGTGGTAATATACAAGTACAATAAATGTTCATATTCATTTGAGAAAAATAAGAAATTACCTTATGTCGACTTAATTACCCCACTAGTACATGCCCAACTAACTTGCTTCCAAATCTTCTTCTTTTTCAAACTAAGACATCCCTGCAATCAACAAAAATGAGACTTCTAAAATTGATAATATACAAATAGTAGGACTAAAAAAACAAGAACAAGTATTCACAAAACCAGCTACTTATAACATATACATTAAGAATAGAATTCGACGAAGTTATATCAGAGACAAACCCATACTGATTAAATAAATAACCTCTGAAACTCCAAACAACAATATCAACATTTATTCTATCGGTACACATTTGATTAAATAAATAAAATGCCTCATCAACACTGCCCATTTGTGAATAGCACCCCATAATGGTAGGCCAAGAGACAATCTATGAGGCATATAGTCGAACACTTTGCGAGCAAACATAAGAGAAGGCAAATTTGACATAGAAAATGATCAAAGAAGAACCAACTAATGGGTCAAGAGAAAATTCTTAAGCCACAACATGTTGATGGAAGGAACGACCAATAGAGAAGGAACATGGGTGTTAAGCATAAAGACATAGTTTAGAAGAACTTGACGATGAGCACCTGATGAAGAAAGATGGTTGATTTTGGCATTGAATGAGTATGAATATGAAAACGAGTGTTGATTTAGCAGTAGCAGCAACTTTGGCTTTGACAATAATAGTACTAAAGTTAATTATGGAGGCATGTCAACATCATCAAACCCTAAATTATTGAAATAGCAATGAGAATGCAAACATTGGAACCTAAAAACAAATTTGGATCCAAATAGAGTAATCAATTACAAACCCTAAATTATTGAAATGGGAAATCAATACATTAAGTACAGGGAAGATGAAATTATAAAGTGAAAGAGGAAAACAATACCTTAAGTAAAGGAAAATGGCACAAAGAAGATGAATGTAACACCCCAAATTTATCCTCATCGAGATTAGGTAACAGTCCTGAAGAATGGGGCATACTGCCAGATTCTCGCTTGAGCGAGAGGACCTCGCCCAAGCGAGAGGATCAGTGTTTTGAAATTACAAATTCTAGGAGTCTCGCCCAAGCAAGGAATGGGTCGCTTGAGCGAGAGGAAGCCTATTGAGACTGTGAGATTCTCGCTTGAGCAAGAGCGTCAAATCTGAAATTTTAAAAAGGCGGGATTTTCTCGCCTGAGCGAGAATGGGCTCGCTTGAGCGAGAACCGGACGGCTCATCTTTAAAATAGAAACCCCAAACACATTTTAGAGTTAGAACTTTGAAGAGAAGAGAGAAATGAGAGCTTTTCAAGAGCAAAGAACCTTAGGACTCATCTTAGAGCTTGAGAATAGGTAAACCTCTTGTTCCTAACTCTTCTTCTTCCTCTCTAACTTGTCTTGGGTAGGTTGGATCTCTTTTCAAAACATGAGAAACCATGGAAACTCATCCTTTAGAGTTATGGTTCGTTTTATGTTGTTTTTCTCTTGTAAACTCTTGGTTTAGAGTTGGTATTTGATGAATGGAAAGGTTTTGTGGGTTATTAATGAAAACCCGAAAAAACCCCCAAAATGAGAATATGAGTAAAAAGAGAAAATGGATGAAATGTTAGATGTGGATGATGAGTTTGTGCTTTGATGTTGATATATGAGATAAACATGTAGGTTTAGATGTTTGGAAACTTGTATTAAAGTAGTTTTGGAAATCATGAAAATATGTGAATTCCTTGTATGTTTGATGATGAAATACGAGTTGTTTATGTGTTATTTTGAATAAATGACTGACATTGTTGTTATTAGTGGAAATGAGGAAAGATCATAAGGTTGGAGAAAATCGCGGAGGAGACTTTTAAAGTTACTTGGAACCGATCTCCAACACTCACCAAGGTAAGAGATAAGTGTCTCTAAATCATACTCGCTGATGTGAATGAGGTATGTGAAAGATGTAATGTGTTTGTAAGAATACTGTTGATACCCTACCCAAAGAGGTAGTGGTTTATTATTGATACCCTACCCGAAGAGGTAATGGTTTATGGTTGATACCCTACCCGAAGTGGTAGCGGATTATTGTTGTTATCCTACCCGGAGTGGTAGTGGATTATTATGGTTATCCTACCCGGAGTGGTAGTGGAGCATTGTGGTTATACTACCCGAAGTGGTAGTGGATTATTGTGGCTGTCCTACCCGGAGTGGTAGTGGATTATTGTGAACTCGACCTGCCCGATGTGGTATGAGGATAACTCGACCTGCCCAATGTGGTATGGATAATGACTCGACCTGCTCGATGTGGTATGGATAATAACTCGACCCGCCCGATGTGGTATGGATAATAACTCGACCCGCCCGATGTGGTATGGATAATAACTCGACCTTCCCGATGTGGCATGGGGATAACTCGACCTACCCGATGTGGTATGGATAATAACTCGACTTGCCCTATGTGGTATGGATAATAACTCGACTTGCCCGATGTGGTATGGATAATAACTCGACCTGCCCGATGTGGTATGGATAATAACTCGACCTGCCCGATATGGTAGCCCGATGTGGTATGGATAATAACTCGACCTGCCCAATGTGGTATGGATAATAAATCGACCTGCCCGATGTGGTATGGATAATAACTCGACCTGCCCGATGTGGTATGGAAATAAACTCGACCTGCCCGATGTGGTATGGAAATAAACTCGACCTGCCCGATGTGGTATGAGAAATGGAATCGATGAATACGATTAAAGGAAATATGAAGGATGAGAACGAGGATGTGAATGATAAAAGTAATATTCATGTTATAGAATATATATTATGAGATATATATACTATAGGGTGAATATGAAGGATGACAATGAGGATGTGGATGATCAAAGTAATATGCATGTTATAGGATATATATTATGAGATATATATACTATAGGGTGAATATGAATGATGAAAAAGAAGATGTTAAGAATGAAAATAATATACATGTTATAGGAGATATATTATGGGATATATGTTCTATAGGATGTATATGAATAATGAGAAGTACGATGTTTTCGAAAGAACGTAATATACATGCTATAGAATATATATTATGGGATATATATACTATAGGATAAATATGAATATCGTGGAAGTGAAAGGAGTAAGATATGAATACTTACATTTACGTATTTATGGTTATAAATTATATTAAAGCTTAATCGTATGTGAAATGTGGATTATCATGTAATGTTAGTTTTTGAACTAATGACTTACTCCCTTGTTTTGTGTGTTGTTTATGATAATCCCATTGTAGGTAAATGAAGGATTTGAGGAGGAAGCTCACTTAGGAAGCTTATGTGTTTATTATCTTGATTGTCTTTATCGCTGTTTGACATTGTAGTTGATTTGATAACATTTTGGGATGAATGTAAATCTGAATAGGACAATACTGAGTTATGTAGTTATGGAAGTTATAACTCTTAGAAATCCATACTGGTTGTATGTGATAATTACTAAATGAATGAATTATGTTTTTCCGCAACATGATTGCATGATAATATAATAGGTTAAAAGATTAGTGTTAAGTAATGATTCATGAAGGTTTTTCAGTAAAATAATGAATGTATGTAAGGAAAGATTTTAAATAAACGAAAAAATTTTAATGGTAGAATTTGGGTTGTTACAATGAATGCTAGGGAAAATGACACAATGTAGAAGATGATGGGAGAAAGAAATTTCCCACATAAAACAATTTTGGTGGGAGAAACAATTTTATTCATTTTATTTTGGCACAAGATTAAAATTGACCTAAGGGAACGGTTTTTTTCATTTGTGTTGTAGACTATAGGGCCACCCCCGTAAAACCATTTTGTTTTATAAAAAATTCTTTGACAACGATTTTCAAACTGTGTTGCTAAAGAGTATGAAAAACAAAATTGTTGCCTATTCTTTTAAGAGTACGGTTTTCAACCGTTGTAGTTTGAAAACACAATTTATTTTAAAAAGAGAACATTGTAAAAAAATTGTGGTAGTGAGGCAACGGTTTTGAAACTGTTGTCTTAAAGTACAATAGGCCAAAGTTATAAGAATAATTCCAAAAACCGTGGTCTAATACAATGAATAGACAACGGTTTTGAAACCGTTGCCTAATATACTCTAAGACTACGGTTTTAAAACCGTTGAAGGTGGAGTCGTTGCCATAGGCCAAAAATGTTGTAGTGATTATAAATACTTTATAAAAATGATCATCAAAATATTTAATATTATGCTTTATCAAAATATTTAAAATTTTGATATATATATATATAGCATGTCAACCTTTAATTAGGGATTACAATATATATATAAATGGAGAGTCTATTGAACTTTTATATTCTAATGTATAAAGTTTTCTATTAAATGATATTTTGCTCTCATCTTTCTTTACCCCCTAATAAAATAATATTTAATTCACACTCACATTAGTCTATAGTACCTATATATTGAATATCAAATGTAAATTATTAAAAATTACTTTCCTTCAATTTGTAACTCTTGCATGCATCTATAGCTAATGTATATTACCTATATGAGTTCTACCAACAAGACATTGTTTAGTGTTGTAAGACTTTATTAATACCTGAATAGACCAAAAAATTAAATGTACGATTACTTGTTTGGGAGGAACAATTATGCATATAGATCACCTATATCTCTCAGATTTCTATATAAGCAGCATCTCCACATGAGGTTCTCCTAAAATAATCACCCTCAGCAACTTTCAGATCTCTCCTTTTTCAACATGGTGAACAAAGCTACCCTGCAATTGCTCATAATCCTTCTAATTTTTTCTTTTGTTCTCTCATCTGCTTCTGTTCCAACAAGAAGTAAGGATGAAACTTCACCAATAACTATATCTGTTCTTTTTCATTTTGCACTCATTCCATTACTTTTAATGGTATACTTATTTTTCATTGTGTGCAGGAAGCCTTTTAACAAAGAAGGACAAGTCCTCAATCCAAACTACACTAGTTCAGGTTATATCTTGGACTTGGACCACTATGAACCTAAATAAACTCTACTTACATTGAAAAATTTCAGAGTTCTTCTTTATGAGTTTTAAATTGCAGTTGCTGTCGCGATTGCGATAACGGTTATGGTTACTGCGTGCGTTTGCAGTCATTGTGACCGTCCGGGTGTTTATTATTTTGTGATTAAAACAATATTTTTGAATCCGATGCGGTCTCATGCAGTCCGATGTGACCTAATGCGGTCCGATGCGGTTGCATCATTGTGATTCGGAGTTACACTGCAATCTCTTTTCTCAATGCAATATAATAAAGAGTTTTAACTGAGAGAATAAATTTTGTGTCAATTATTGCAGGATGCTTCAGAATTCAGAAATGGAGAAGGAATGATTGATATGGCAGAAGAGTTCATGGTAGAGGGTAGGATGGATTTGGAAAGAAATGACTATCCAGGAACAGGTGCAAACAACAAGCATGATCCAAAGACACCAGGAGGAGCTTAATTATTGATACATTAATATTTATAGATTAAGACCTAAATAAGTGTTACAAATAAATGGCATAAGATTTGCATATTCTTATTGTTAGAATATTCTTCCATCCAACATTTTTTTTACTTAATCCACACTCCTTTAATTCAAAGAAGATTTCTTGTTGGGTGCATTGTATTAGAAATTGGAAATCTACCTCATTCTCATTGATTGAAAAAAGAAATCAATGATGACTTGTTTATACAAGAGAAAAAGAAAGCTAACAAATCAATCAACTAATCAAAAAACAGTTACAAACCTAACTAACTATTAACTTCATAACCATCAAACTAACTTCTAAAATAATTTCTAAAATATCTTTATTACCCCCATCAAGCTCGTGAGTGAATATTT